GGAATGATTACAATTCTTAACATGATCCCTGATATTTGTTATAGAACGGTGTCCGATGATTTATTGATGGGTGATAGAAACACGCAGTATGTGCAACAGCTGGCGCAGAACTATTGGTATCACTATCTATTGGCTGTAACGTGAGGAAGATGATCTACAAGATAGGGTTTTGTCTTCTGAGACAGACAGACACGCATCACTGAGCATGGTCAGCTGGGAAGACTATTGTAAAACGTACATGTTCCAGCATGAATGAACATGACCCCGCGAAACAAACACGCGTGTCATGCTCGAGGAGCTCTGACTGATGTCAGGTGTCATATATCTGGAGCCCATATAGCTCTGGATGACGTCAGGTGTCATATACCTGAAGCCCATGTAGCTCTGGGTGATGTCAGGTGTCATATACCTGGAGCCCGTGTAGCTCCAACTGAAGTCAGGGGTCATACACCTGGAGCCCGTGTTGCTCCAACAGATGCCAGGTGTCATATACCTGGAGCCCGTGTTGCTCCGACTGATGTCAGGTGTGATATACCTGAAGCCCGTGTACCTCCAACTGATATCAGGTGTCATATACCTGGAGCCCGTGTTGCTCCGACTGATGTCAGGTGTCAAATACCTGATCCGCCTGTAGCTCCAACTGATATCAGGTGTCATATACCTGATCCCCCTGTAGCTCCAACTGATGTCAGATGTCATGTACCTGGAGCCCATGTTGCTCCGACTGATGTCAGGTGTCATATACCTGGAGCCCGTGTTGCTCCGACTGATGTCAGGTGTCATATACCTGAAGCCCGTGTAGCTCCAACTGATACCAGGTGTCATATGCCTGATCCCCCTGTAGCTCCAACTGATGTCAGGTGTCATGTACCTGGAGCCCGTGTAGCTCCGACTGATGTCAGGTGTGATATACCTGAAGCCCGTGTACCTCCAACTGATATCAGGTGTCATATACCTGGAGCTCGTGTTGCTCCGACTGATGTCAGGTGTCAAATACCTGATCCGCCTGTAGCTCCAACTGATATCAGGTGTCATATACCTGATCCCCCTGTAGCTCCAACTGATGTCAGATGTCATGTACCTGGAGCCCATGTTGCTCCGACTGATGTCAGGTGTCATATACCTGGAGCCCGTGTTGCTCCAACAGATGCCAGGTGTCATATACCTGGAGCCCGTGTTGCTCTAACTGATGTCAGGTGTCATATACCTGGAGCCCGTGTTGCTCCGACTGATGTCAGGTGTCATATACCTGGAGCCCATGTTGCTCCGACTGATGTCAGGTGTCATGTACCTGGAGCCCGTGTTGCTCCGACTGATGTCAGGTGTCATATACCTGAAGCCCGTGTAGCTCCGACTGATATCAGGTGTCATATACCTGATCCCCCTGTAGCTCCAACTGATGTCAGGTGTCTTGTACCTGGAGCCCGTGTAGCTCCGACTGATGTCAGGTGTCATATACCTGGAGCCCGTGTTGCTCCGACTGATGTCAGGTGTCATATACCTGGAGCCCGTGTTGCTCCGACTGATGTCAGGTGTGATATACCTGAAGCCCGTGTACCTCCAACTGATATCAGGTGTCATATACCTGGAGCCCGTGTTGCTCCGACTGATGTCAGGTGTCAAATACCTGATCCGGCTGTAGCTCCAATCGATATCAGGTGTCATATACCTGATTCCCCTGTAGCTCTGACTGATGTCAGATGTCAAGTACCTGGAGCCCATGTTGCTCCGACTGATGTCAGGTGTCATATACCTGGAGCCCGTGTTGCTATGACTCATTTCAGGTGTCATATACCTGAAGCCCGTGTAGCTCCGACTGATGTCAGGTGTCATATACCTGGAGCCCGTGTTGCTCCGACTGATGTCAGGTGTCATATACCTGGAGCCCGTGTTGCTCCGACTGATGTCAGGTGTCATATACCTGGAGCCCGTGTTGCTCCGACTGATGTCAGGTGTCATGTACCTGGAGCCCGTGTTGCTCCGACTGATGTCAGGTGACTGGAGCCCGTGATGTCGACTGATGTCAGGTGTCATATACCTGGAGCCCGTGTTGCTCCAACTGATGTCAGGTGTCATATACCTGGAGCCCGTGTTGCTCCGACTGATGTCAGGTGTCATATACCTGGAGCCCGTGTTGCTCCGACTGATGTCAGGTGTCATATACCTGGAGCCCGTGTTGCTCCGACTGATGTCAGGTGTCATATACCTGGAGCCCGTGTTGCTCCGACTGATGTCAGGTGTCATATACCTGGAGCCCGTGTTGCTCTGACTGATGTCAGGTGTCATATACCTGGAGCCCATGTTGCTCCGACTGATGTCAGGTGTCATATACCTGAAGCCCGTGTTGCTCCGACTGATGTCAGGTGTCATATACCTGGAGCCCGTGTTGCTCCGACTGATGTCAGGTGTCATATACCTGGAGCCCGTGTTGCTCCGACTGATGTCAGGTGTCATATACCTGGAGCCCGTGTTGCTCCGACTGATGTCAGGTGTCATATACTTGGAGCCCGTGTTGCTATGACTGATGTCTGGTGTCATACATGTATACCTAGATCTTGTATGGCTCTGGCTGATTTCAGATTTTATTTACCTGGATCATATGTAGTTTGATGCCAGTTGTCATATACCGAGTGTCTTCAACAACCCTGCAAGAGGAGTCTAGCGGAATCGGGTAGTGAAGACTTACTGGAGTTAATATGCATGTCATCGTATCCTTCAGTGAAGAATCGATGCCTATGATGCCAGTCACTTACAGATATTTCTGACAGCGTATTTTCAACAAAAAAGCAATTGCCAGATGTGACATGCATGGAGCTACTGTAGCACCAAGTATTGTCACGTGTTACTTTGTGCACCCTGGGCATCAATCCTGACATCAGTTAGACACATACCTATATACTCGACATTGTGTAGTTACACCTTCACAGGTGTCATATCGTGACAGGAGTTAGATACCTGGATACTGTGTAGCACAACCCAGTAACAGGTATCTGTATGTGTCTGACTGATGTCAGGAGTTAGATACCCTGATACCGTGTAGCACAAAAAAATTACAGGTATCTGTATGTGTCTGACTGATGTCAAGAGTTAGATACCTTGATACCGTGTAGCACAAAAAAATGACAGGTACCTGTATGTGTCTAACTGATGTCAGGAGTTAGATACCTTGATACCGTGTAGCACAACCCAATGGCAGGTACCTGTATTCCTGGATACCGTGAAGCACAACAAACTGACAGGTACCTGTATGTGTCTAACTGATGTCAGGAGTAAGATACCTGGATACTGTCAAGCATAACAAAATGACAGGTACCTGTATGTGTCTAACTGATGTCAGGAGTTAGATACCTGGATACTGTGAAGCACAGCAAAGTGACAGGTACCTGTATGTGTCTAACTGATGTCCGGAGTTTGATACCTGGATACTGTGTAGCACAACCCAATGGCAGGTACCTGTATGTGTCTAACTGATGTCAGGAGTTAGATACCTGGATACCGTGAAGCACAAAAAAATGACAGGTACCTGTATTTGTCTAACTGATGTCAGGAGTTAGATACCTTGATATTGTGTAGCACAACCCAATGACAGGTACCTGTATTTGTCTAACTGATGTCAGGAGTTAGATACCTTGATACTGTGTAGCACAACCCAATGACAGGTATCTGTATGTGTCTAACTGATGTCAGGAGTTAGATACCTTGATACCGTGTAGCACAACCCAATGGCAGGTATCTGTATGTGTCTAACTGATGTCCGGAGTTAGAAACCTGGATACCGTGAAGCACAGCCCAATGACAGGTACCTGTATGTGTCTAACTGATGTCAGGAGTTAGATACCTTGATACCGTGTAGCACATCCCAATGGCAGGTACCTGTATGTGTCTGACTGATATCAGGAGTCAGGTACCTCGTACCGTGTTGCGTAATATAATGTTTAATGTATCCAGCTATGGCTGCTATCAAGAGCCATGGTATATTTCTAGCAGAGTATACAACTTCATTACACTGGAAGCAACAACACTAACATACAGTTGGTGACAATTGCACACGTCTCGTGTTGCATGCAGTGAGCTACTTCACATACACACAACATAACACCGCATGCGTACAGTAGGTATATGCTATCTCAAAGAGATATTAAACTAAAGCCATGTACGCATTCGACCAGATTCAGATGCGTGTAACAGACCTAGTTTCAACAGGAACAGCAGCCTTTTACATAAATGTCATGTGACAAATCCTTGTCAGACATCCTTATATGTAGAAGACATATGATGTAAGGTCACACACCTACTGAAGTGTAAGGGTGTCTATCAGATTCACCGTGTACTGTGTACGGGAAGTGTATGCAAAGGGGCAGTCCGGAAGTAGTTTTAAGTAAAACGTTTAGATGAGGAGCTCGTCAAGGAAGAGGCGGAGTAGGTAAGCAGGAAACAGTCCTAAATGGAGGCTATGGTGGAAGGGTATTCCACAGAAAGGTCAGGACAAGACTCTCTTATAGCTGGCCTCATTACACAGCTCTGTCTTGTGAGACATGCTGACATTTACAGCACTGGTCTACGGTGTCAGTGTCTGGCTGAGACGCCCTGAGAGTACTCCTCCTCCAGATGTAAGAAGGCTGTAAGTGGAGCATTTCCTAAGACAATAAGCCAGTTAGTAACGGAATCAGCACCGCATTCACAGTGACACTCAATGCTTCAGTGATTCCGCAACAGAACCGATCGTTCAGTGTTGTTTATGCGGTTGTCGATTCCATGTCTTGATAGTCTTCATATGAGAGATAAACATCACGGAAGCCGGTATTTCCTCTGGATTGTGATGGTCACTATGATAATAACAAAGTGGAAGTCCTGAGTTGCCCCTAAACCGTAAACAAATGTCCTCGTCAAACGTACAGGCAGCTGTAGGAGCCGTTGATTATTTCCTGATAAGTCAGAAATCTAGACGCTGGGCTAAGTAACTCTGTGGCTGTATGAAGAGATTATATAAAACGGCTTACCGTGTATGTGATGGGGGAAATGAGAGGCCAGTGCCACGGCTTGCTATCTATACCTCCACCGCTCCACTGCCAGGCTCTACGCGATCAATGAGCTGGCTTGTTCACCACCAGGCATTTAGCACTGCGCATGCGTCAGCTGCCTTCTTCCACGAGGGTTACGGAGCACAAATCAAGAAAGTGCACGCGAGATTGTTTATGGAGACATTGTATCCAACATAAGGTTCGTTCTACCACAGATGGAGAACCCAAATGAATTCCTTCTCTCCGGCAGTTGGTTGTGCTGACATGATGCTTTTCGGGACTTGTTAAACTGACCATACTCGGCGGGGTTCAGCAGAGCAGGCAGAAGCAGTTGTCGATTATATTGGGCATGTTGAATCCCGGATGAATAAATGGGTGAAGCATCGTTGGAGGGTGTCCAAGTGTCCGAGGAAAATGTATATCTGTTTTGTAGTGGATTTGAAGTACTTCTTGAAGTCGATGAAAACACACTTGGAATGAATGTTTCTTCTCCCGTTCCAGAGAGTGTGTTGGTATAAGTGTCGTCTCGTGGTGACAGGGAGACAACTCACAAACGTTCTTTGTATAAACATACATATATATCTGTGTTGATGAGCATAACCTGTCCAAATGGAGAATCGTTTGAAAGACAAAATACTGGCGTGGGACTACGTGTTCATGTTGAAGTGTGCTAATTCAGGTCCAACTCAGACACGTGATATTAACTCGAGCTGACCATTCTTTGATTATCCCTTGTATGCTGAGCGCAAGGCTGGGTAACAAGAAGTATCATTTTACATCTTCTGGTTTCCGGACAGAGGCTCCTTTGCAATGGATCACGGACGCGGTTATGAACATCAAGGCCATGTACCCCAACCAATCATGCATCACTAGGCAACAACACGTATATCTACAACGACCAAAGACATGTCATAACGTTACACCCATCAAATATGTCCCATACGAACGGTAATTTCCCTGCCAGTTGAATGACTGACTGACTGAGTTTAGTTTTACGCCGCTTTTAGCAATATTCCAGCAATATCATGGCGGGGGACACCAGAAATGCCAGCCAGTTAAAGCTACTTAGTTTTAACCGCGGGTTCGTCACGATCATGACGGGGCTCAGCTGGTACAAAGAATAACTCAAAAGATACAAAGTATGACTCCAAGGATACAAAGTATGTCTCCAAGGATACAGAGTATGACTCAAAGGGTACAAAGTATGACTCAAAGGGTACAAAGTATGACTCCAAGGATACAAAGTATGACTCAAAGGGTACAAAGTATGACTCAAAGGGTACAAAATATGACAAAGGATACAAAGTATGACTCAAAGGGTACAAAGTATGACTCAAAGGTACAAAGTATGGCTCAAAGGGTACAAAGTATGACTCAAAGGTACAAAGTATGACTCAAAGGATACAAAGTATGACTCAAAGGGTACAAAATATGACAAAGGATGACTCAAAGGGTACAAAGTATGACTCAAAGGATACAAAGTATGACAAATGATACAAAGTATGACTCAAAGGGTACAAAGTATGACTCCAAGGATACAAAGTATGACTCAAAGGTACGAAGTATGACAAAGGATACAAAGTATGACTCAAAGGGTACAAAGTATGACTCATAGGGTACAAAGTATGACTCAAAGGGTACAACGTATACTCAATGGATACAAAGTATGACGCGGTGGTTATAAACTGGATGAAATGTTTGTAAAAGCGGCGTAAAAAGCCACTCACCCAATTATCTATTGCGCAAATAGGAACTGATCTGAGAATGTCTGTCCGTTTACTGTGGTGAAAAAAAATCCAGAGCAACATCCTACTGACGCCCATTGTTATAACTAAACGCATCAATAACCCTAACTCGACTGGCCGCTTATTTAATCGTTAGCATAAAATTATTTGCTGACAACATTTCCCACATTTCGTGATATTGCTCAGCATAATAATACAGCACATACCCAGCCAGGATGTCAGCAAGCATGGTCTAATCTTTCACTAATGAAAAAAACATACGAATCGCCAACGAAATATTGCTTGATCAGCAACAGAATCACATGCAGTATATGTATCCACCCACACTCTTCATGCATCACTGTTCAACACCATACATGACCACGGCAGTTTCCTCGACAATCTGTCAAGCAGACATCACTTGTGACAGATGTTTTGTAAGAGTATTATGGAAAATATACTTGGTAGTGATGGGTGCCTGACAGCGGTAGGTGGTCTCGTTGTTGGTAGTGGTGTATGTTTGACAGAGGTAGGTGGTCTCGGTGTTGGTAGTGATGTACGTTTTTACAAAAGCAGGTGGTCTCGCTGTTGGTAGTGATGGGTGCTTGACAGAGGTAGGTGGTCTCGGTGTTGGTAGTCATGTATGTTTCACAAAAGCAGGTGGTCTCGCTGTTGGTAGTGATGGGTGCTTGACAGAGGTAGATGGTCTCGGTGTTGGTAGTGATGGGTGCTTGACAGAGGTAGGTGGTCTGTGTGAGGTGAGGTGAAATTGAGTTTTACGTCGTGCTTGAGAATACTTCGCTCATATGACGACTTGCATGCGTGTGTATGTGTATGTGCAGCTGCTTGTACTAGCCCAGACTTAAGCTGGTTTTATAGTGCTAGCCCACTGAGATACCATGCCGCAGTGAAGCATGAATACCCCACTCAGACACAGTATACTGACTCCGAGCCGACCAGTCCTTGATGTACCCATTAATGCCGAGCGCCACGCAGGGACCAACAAGTACCATATTTTAACGTCTTTGGTATGACGCGGTCGGGCATCGAACCCGCGCCCTTCCGCTCTCCGGGCGGACGTTCTAACCACTACACCATGGAAGCGGTCAGGTGGTCTCAGTGTTGGTACTGAGGTATGTTTGACAGAGGTAGGTGGTCTCGGTGTTGGTAGTGATGTATGTTTGACAGAGGTACGTGATCTCGTTGTTGGTAGTGGTGTATCTTTGACAGAGGTAGGTGGTCTCGTTGTTGGTAGTGATGTATGTTTGACAGAGGTACGTGATCTCGTTGTTGGTAGTGGTGCATCTTTGACAGATGTAGGTGGTATCGGTGTTGGTAGTCATGTATTTTTGACAGATGTAGGTGATCTCGGTGTTGGTACTGATGTATGTTTGACAGAGGTAGGTGGTCTCTGTGTTGGTAGTGATGCATGTTGGAGGTATGTGGTGTTGGTGTTGTCGCTATATGTTTTTTTCACAATCCAGTTTCAAACAACCGGATTGCTAAGTCATTAGGTGATAACTTCAAATGCCGGAGACTAAACATGATCGTTTTGAACTTGCGAAACAAACACATCCAACTTCTCCAGAACACAGAGTTCTTTGTAGGGTATTATTTTCGACGCTAGTTCAATGAGTACATTCACATTTTTATGGGAAGAAAAAATATTATTCAATCGCTATCGTTTTTGTATTAAGTTATGAACGCATCTTTATTTATCACGATAAAAGAGGGAAAATCGGATGTTTACAGAGAACTTTCGGATTTACTCTTCTTTCGAAATGAAACCACTAGAACTCCTGTGAAGCCTCTCTCCTATACAACTACACGTTTCCATTATTCGTCTACACAATGTGGAAAGCAATTTAGAAAGAAATACCCCACATTACATCCCTTATTGAATTCCCGAAGAAAGAACATTTCTTTCCTTCCTAATATACTGCCAGCAAGTAGTCAAGGGAACTGTGTGAATTCAACATGATATGATAGATGGAAAGAAATGCGGTCAATACAATCTTAAATGATATTTTGACCGTGTATTGATTGGGTCTATACATGATTCATTGATCAAGTAGCCTTCTGCATGTTACTACAAAAGATCAACTGATCGCCACCGGAAGCGATATTATTCGGTGAGTCAATTACACAACGGCTTCTCAAACGGCTTTTCGTACAGGCTTAGTTGGAGGACAATGGTTTTGTTGCGTCAGCACTTGAGCAAGAGGCAGCCACCGTTGCGGTGGAGTTGGGCACTTGAGGGTTCCAGTGTTCCGGCAATGCTCCCCCAGCCGCCCTTCATGCATGTAAAGGCAGAAAGTGTATGTCCCCACCACCATCTGATGTTGACTCACACCAGTACATTTGTTATGACTCCACTTGAACATCATGCTGGTCGATCGGCGATGCATTTAAGAGTTTGCCTAGTCAACACGTGTATCTAACTCGATACAACAGTGGAGGAAGCGCCAACTCAAAGACACAAGGACTACTATCGACATTCTCTCACAACGTATCGTGTCGAGGGAAGAGAAAGCCTCTTGGAGGAGGCTGGTCCAGCGAGTCGAGGGCCAGCATTATTATGCCAGGAGCACACTCTTGTGGAAGCCAGAAGTAACGCTTTGTAGAACCAGGAGTGCGCAACTGCAGTGCCAGGAGCGCACAGTTGTCTGCTAGGAGTGCACCTTTTGTAGCCCAGGGGAGCACCACGGTTTTGCCAGGAGCGCACAGTTGTCTGCTAGGAGTGCACCTTTTGTAGCCCAGGGGAGCACCACGGTTTTGCCAGGAGTGCACAATTGTAGCTTCAGAAGAGCACATGCCGCACCGATTTACCGACACCCCACAAAGTTTATCGCAGAGTTTACATTCACACTGATAGTAACACAAAGAACATTGTCTGAAAGAAAGAACTGTATTGAATAATCTGACGTATGTTATAGAGTCTATGTTGTCGGCATACGGGCAAATTAATAAGAAAGTGATGTTATTAATTTTACGTCTGGCTGTTATTGATTACTGTTGGAAGCAAAGGCCGATACTCCCTCCTGCTGAGGCCATAAAACCTCAAGTATCTTCGATGACCCTCCATACCAGGCTTGCACACACAAGTACGCCGTATGGCGGCCAACACACACTCCCTCTATATGCCACACGAGAAATGAATGCAAGGTGATCAACCCGATATCGTACAAACCGTGGCACTACACGGTACCACCCGGACCGGTCACTGGTGACACACGGAATATGGCTACCAATATAGTGGACGACGGCCTAAGTGTATGTCCAGTACTGGTGGACCATCGCACGTACCAACAAGTTCAGGGTGACCACTTGTATT